TACTATCTCTATTCGCTTAAGATAGGAGTAAGTTTGTTGTTACATCTCTAATGTTATCAACATTATAAACAAGAATTAATATTTCGTTTTACCTTCATACCTTAGTAGTTTGGATTAATCTATCTCATTAAATTGTATCGGTTTTGTCCTTCTGTTCCTTACTGATTATTGTTGTGCATGCCAAAAAATCATTTCCAGTGCATTGACGCATCTAAAGCTACATTTTGAAATATGAGTCTTGGTACCTGAAAAATTCCAGACTTTAATATGGTTGACATTGCTGATAAGTACAGCTTGATGAGTTTTAACATCTTCGGTAAAATCGAAGATTTGATCAGAGGTGGCTTCAGTCTATATATAATGTGATTTTTAGTATTCTGATATGAATCCATTTAATTCATGCTTATTCTTTAAGAATTTTGAATTTCTAAATATTCAGAGTTGTATGTCCAATTTTGGTGCATTGACGAAATGGGAACCACAGCTAATTGAATTGGACGCTGCAGCAATGCGCAATGATGGTGCTGCATCAGTCAGTTCGCAGGGTGGTTCATCTGGCAATACAGAAACTCCTTCACCGGCTTCATCAACTAACAGTGGTCATGGCGAACGTCAGAGGGAAGTAAGTTATTTGAACATCATCGCGACAAAAGAATCACCTGAAGAATCTTTGGGTCTGAAAAAATTTAAAAGTGACTATAGAACTTGGTAGACAGGCAGCGCAATTTCGAATTAAAATGTAGTGTCTGAACGCACTGACTGAGCTGTGTTCACTATTTTTGTTTTTTAAAGAAATTCGTTCTAGATCAATGTTCCAATTTCTATTTATCAAGTGCAACGTTCGCAGCTTAGCATACTTCATCATTTGATGTGGTCTGATCGGTTGTGGAAACAGACATCAACCAAAATGAACAGCTATGAACAAGGTTGTTTATAAAAATCATAGAAAATCTCTTTTTCAATTGCTCTGCATGCAGATATGATGCTGTATTTTTATTTGATGAGAGTGAGCAAAATAGTTAAGGACTTTTTGGATCGGGCAGGATATTCTACATTTTAGATTAAATTAAGCATATATTTAAAATAGCTTAAATGAGAATCCAAAATTTTTTGCATTTTTAACATGTCTAGATCGGTTTTTGATTTTGTATTTCTTCTGCAGAGATGGTAAAACATTTGGACCAAATATGTGGACCGCTTACTGTTGACTTAAGCTTACATTCATTATCAGAATATCTGGCTACAGCAGTAGCATGGCTTCGTGCGGAATATCGAGCAGAAAAGGAACGATTATCACCGTCGTCATAGTAGACGAGTTTTCTATCATATAAAGTCTAATTATGCAGGGTATTATTTTCGTGTAACTCTCGTAATCATTATGCTTTTTGTCACATTCATTTTGCACCTTGTAAAAATCTACCCCGCTTGAATATTTAATTAATGATGGACAATTATAAGGAAATTGTTTGCTTAATTTGCTGCAAGAATTTAGAGTGTTTCCGAATGGAATGAGTAGTGAAATTTTGAATTATTACTTCCGCTGATTTATTGTTTTCATTTACTTCGATTTTGGTTCTTAATTTTAATTTGCCAGTCCAGAAGTGCATCCTTTGTCAGTCTTCATTCATAGTTTTTACGAATTATTTTTTGTACATATAAGTTTATTAGATTGTTTGTACAAGATCCGCTCAGAGAGGAAGAATCTCTATGATGTTTTCCCACTCAAGTTGTGGGTTATCTTTCATTTGAATTATTAATTTATTCAAGGAAAGATGTTGGTCTATGAATATTAATTTTGTGGTGTACAAATCATCTTAATATTTTTGGCTGAAATCATGGTTTTAGTGTTTATTTACGTGTTTGTAGATGTTTTAATTTCAGATTGTTTTGGTGAAAGATTAGCTATATTTTTGTTTCCTTATTTTACAATTTCGGATTCTTTGTTTTACATTTGTGACGATGGTTCATATTATATACGTTATCAAATTTAAATCTTTTGTTTTAAAGACATTTTGCTAGGCAGCTGATTCTTATTTTTAGTGCTGAATTTTTTAAATGTTTAAATTTCCCATTTTCAAATTAATAATGTGAATTATTGTACATATTCTGCATTATACAATCATTTTGAGATAGTTTATGGAGCAGTTAGTTTTTTTAACTATTTTTTGAAAAAAGTAATAGAATTAATTATATGATTATATGCCTCAGAAGTTTCTCGTGATAAGACTGTCAGAAGAATTGAAAATTTACTTTATTGTCTGAAATTTTGAGCTCAATTTTACTGGCTATAAATTTAACTACTAGCAAATAGATTGACAGAATATTATGCTGTTTAGAAAATAATCTGGAAGCGATGCTTTGGTATCTGACACAAGATCTGAGGATTTTTATTTTCTGAGGCATATGAAGTTCCGCTGTTACGAAAGCATTGATATTTTCATAAAGCTGGATTATATGCATTGGTTTAAGATTGATTGCTTCTCCTTTCCATCTCATTCATTGTGATATTTTGTAAGTTGTATCAAAGTTCCATTCTGGGTATTGGGTTTTTTTTCTTCATCTTTAGCAGCTCCCTTTATTTAAATTGTATAAAGTTCACATTTTTCATTCCCTAATGTTGCCATCTTATGAATTTTTCCGTGAAAAACCGAAGTTCAAATTTTATTTGCTTAGCGAGTGTTGTAGAAGCTTTCTCTAGATGTAATTCTGGTAGTAAATTAAACTCTTGTCAGTTGTGGGAGGATGATTTTTCGCTGATTAAAATAACATTTAATGGAATCACATATACTCCATCCTAGTTATGGATTTTTTTCATAAATTATACTAGTTTAAACAGAATTTTGGTTGTGAGGTTCTTTAGCTAACGGGTGGTCGGTATTTCTATATTTTTATAGTTTACTGATATGTATGAACTGATTAGATTATGCGAGATTATGCATGAGTAGTAGATTATTTGGTGAATGTTTGCTTTGTAATGGAATTGTCCATCTCCTAATTTATGCTCTTTGCTCTTTCTTTTTAAAACAGTGCCAATAATCGGTAATCTTTCAGTTTCTATGGTTTTTTGATAATTGTTTCACCTAAAATATGACCATAATTGCCAAAACGTTTTTGGCAATTATATTTTTTTCAGCGATAGTACACTCTTTGACAAATTATGTGTATGAAGAATGTTCACGTGCTTTCATTCATTGTTTTTTTTTTTCTCTTTTTTAAAGTTTACAAAGTAGAAATTCGTATATCCGCCCTTTTATTTTCGAAATTCAGTCGGCTACGCAATTTTATAGGAAATTTTAACGAAATGATTTTGCACATTTCCGTTTCGTGTGGCATCATATCACTTACTTAGTTTCACGTTCAGTTTGTGATATTGGGATGTGGTTCGAGATTCGAAAGTTTTTGTTTTTCCTTTTGCAGTGATATTGTATTAAGTCTTATCTTGCTATGCTCTCAAACTCACTTCTTGAAGTATTTTTTTAATCCCGATTTAATTTATTTCCTCTAAGTTACTAAAACATTTTGAGTTCAAATCTGGAAATTGACAAATTGTTTCGAATCGTTTGTGTTTAAATTTTTTATATCATTAGAATACTTTGTTGTCGCTTTACATGGTTCATCGGATACTTTTCTATCCTTTCCCTCTTCTGGAAATTTTGTTCTATAAAGGTTATTGGACATTCAAGAGGCATTTTTGAAACATGAAGTTCAGTCTCTTTGTGGTATTTTAATAAAGCGCAAAACACTATACGTTCGTTAAATTCTGTATTATTACATGTGTATTTGAAGTTTGTACCTTTATGCTTGAGATAAAAGTTTATCAGTTCCAACTGATTTTGGGCGTGTATGTGGATGGCTGAAACATGAAATATTTCCTTGTGTTTTCACCGCATTCAGTGTGATTGTTGAACAGGGATAGAGGATATTGCACTCACCTTTCGGAATTGCATACGAAACTCTGTTGAATAGAAAAGCCGAAAGAAGCTTGCAAAGTGATATTAGAAAGCGAATTTACATTTAGAAAACTTCCCCTATGAAAGGTATTCACGTCTCAAATGAATTTATTCATCTCTTTGTGGGAAACCGAGCAGCAGTACCGCCCAACACGACAGGCTGCACCCCGTATTTCTCAAGATTTTGAAGTTCATGAAGTCGAGGGGCTGAATACAATACCAACCCAATAGATATGGTACTCTTCCTCAGTGTTTGGGACTTTATGCAATATTTGAATAGAACGGCTGCGAAATTATAATTTTATCATAGTGCACAATTTTACTCGCTGAAAAACAATAGACCCTACCAAAACGAAAACTTAGAACTGTAAGTATGATACTACATAAGTAATGGAAAAGTGGGAATAAAAAGAAATCTAAAGATAGTATTCAAGCAGTTATAACCACTACATATTCCATTTCTGTTTCTCTTTATCATTTATATTCATTTCTGTTAAAACAAGTGAAATAAAAGACATAAGAAAAAATTAATACAAACAGCGACTCAGGAAACAATGTATTCATAAGAATAGCAGTGCTTTGAACTTGTATTTACAATCCACATTTTATAACTGCCAATTATAGATCAAAGTTTTTCACTATAACAAGGAAAACAACAAAATTAATGGATATATACACCTGAGTGTACTGGTACCAAAAATGCAAGTGAGATTTGCTGCTGCATTTTGTTTCTCGAGATATCAGTTTGAATTTCAACGACTTTCGCATCTCCTTAATTTTTGAGGATTCTTGGCAAATTATAATTTTTGAAAATCGTATTTTGTCAAAATTATCTGCTTACTCAATTCTATATCGCGTGTTTTAGTAGGAAATGAACAACTAGATTAGCATTAAAGACACAAAATCTTGCTTTTGAGCTTTCCGTTTTCTCTATTTTCATCCGTCGTCTGTACATAAAACCCTATTACTGCACGTGTACCAAATACACTTCACGTGATAAAAACTTTTCTATTTATTTGTATGAAACTTCCAAATAATGCTGAAGACTTTTCAAGCCTCGGCACATTCATCATTCACTTCTTGTGACTGGACCATTTGTTGGGCATGTGCTGGCGGTACTCCCATTTGCATCATTCCACTGGTTGGAACACCCTCTACTGTTGTCATCATAGGCATTTTCATGGATGTTATCGTTTGCACTGGTGTTCCTTTGTAATTTCGCATCTCCTATACATTAAATTCACAAACTCTAGATTCTATAACTTAAAAAAAAAAAAAGAAAAAGAAAAAAAAACCAGTGGGACCAGTTAAATACACTTAAGATAGTTATATTTCTTCTCTTTTGATCACCACACACCTTTTTAAACAAATTATCTGGAACTGTTTTACTGCGATAAAAAGAGTAAAAGTAGATAGTCGGGTAATATATAACAAAATAAACGACCTTGCAAAATCCTTTCAAAAATTCTATGTTTTATTTTATATCTTCACAGGTTTATCTAGGTAAGATTAAAAATGTAATACCTCAGCGTATCGCTCTTTATCTTCAAGTGCTTTTCGTTCGTACACAGCTCGTTCCTCCTCACCCAGTGCTTTCCAGAAACGACCCAACTCTTGTGCAACCTGACCAACTTTCCACTCAGGATGTTGTTGTTGCACCTCAGGCCGCTTATCATGGGAGAAGAAAAAGAAGGCGGATCTAAAATTCACACTTAAACCATTTAGATTTTGTTTTGCATTAAAAGTTTAAACTTACGATTGGATCCATAATCTCGAATCTTAAGCAAAATGATTCGGGTTTTATTAAAACTACTGTTCTTTAGAAACAAAAATGATTGATTTTAACAATTGGAAGGTTGAAATGTCAAGTTACAAGGCTCGTTTCGGCGCATTTGGATCTTTCTTGACACGCTTCCGTTTACGTAACGCATCCTCCCCACCGTATGCAGCAACTTCAGCTTGATAGCGTTCTGCATCTTTTTGTGCCAACTCAAAGAACCTCCGTTTTTCATCATCGGACATAGTCTACAAATGAAACAATAAATTATAGTGCAACACCACAAATTTACATACTCTTCTTCATTCAGACAACCTAATATGAAAAAATAATAGAATTTTCTGATCGCACCTTACCCAGCAGAAAAATTCTTCCCTGCCAAACCATTCTAAAGTTCTTTCGAGTTGAAACTGGCACAAATTTACACAGTTCGGAATTTCAAATCGTGAGGAAACTGATATCCGCGTCTGATGCTATTAATTAGCATGACTGAATTCCAAGGTTTCTGGTAAGCTTTGTAAGTTTCATTGAAAGTCCCAAAGAAAATCTTATCCACTCTCACTGAAGAGGATCCTATCTACCATATGCGGTCCCATTCTCTTGGTTAGATGATAAATAGGCTATAATAGGTTAAAAAGGTTACCTTCCATTTCTCTGAACACTTTTTGCTTATTTCAGTCACTTGAACATTTTCGTTTGGATATTTCTTTTTATGCTCTTCATAACACATTTTCACAAAGAATCCATATGGTGATGTTTTGCCACGTACTGGCGGTTTCGCTGATTCTCGCATTCTTCTTTGATCAAAAATGATTGCCTACAAAATTTTGAAACTTATTCAAAACAAATGAGATAAGAGTGGATCTGATGGGAGAGAGGGGAGAAAGAACTCTTTCATTGTACACCAAAGATTACAATAACAAATAGGACCGTAAACAGAGTGAACAAAGCAAACGCATATTTCTAGGATCTGCATAATATTAACGGGGAGGAAAGTGACTGGATAGTTTTTTCAAGTAAATCTTCTGTTGCCAAATACTTGTAAGAAATACGCAAACTCGATCAATTTCAATGATCTTGTTTTTTACTAGAACTTTTTAAGCTCACTAATTTACATATTTTAGATACAAAAAACTTCTAATAATCCCAATTTTATCAGTTTCATTTTTCACATAATGTTAATGTATAGTAAAATCTAGAAATCAATGGTTAGAAGCTGTCAACAATATGCATGAAATCACCATTGCAAAGGATCAAATCAACCAGGTATGAGCAAGCTAATTCTTGAATTACCACCCAGTGTGAGTCCAATGATCTACGAAATAATTAGTCTTCCAGTTATCAATTTTCAACAAGTTTTAAAACAAATACTGCTTGGTCAAATATAAGAAGGAGAGATGTCTAAGTGAAAGTGGACTTTAACTGACATTCTAATTAAAAAAATAAACAAATCCTTTCATTACAGTTTCATTCAGCCATCTAAATCAGTTTATGACCTAACTCTATCGCTTCCGAAACTTAGTAAAACTGAGTGTTTTCATTTCTTATTCTTGAAATTCTTTTCTTTTTATAAATCAGCTGATTTCGGAGCTTTAAAACATTTAGAAGCTAATACAAACTGACGAAATATTTAGCAGCAATTTTTGAACGAACATGACTAGACTGTTGTTTAATATAGCTAATGTCAAATTCGTGATACTCCTTTCTAAGATTAAGCTTTCAACTGTTGAAAGGAGAAAAGTTGCTTCACTCTCAAATTGTTAACAATGAATTCCAAAGTTCCGAAATAATACGAAAAGAATTATTTAAATTGCCAGTTACTCCATGCTGGTGAACTGAAATGATTAGTTGAATGAGTGATTGATAGATATTTGTAGGTTAAATTCGGAAACTAGCCTTCTAAAATTTCTGTTCAATAGCTCTTGGAAACGTGAAGCCGTTCGTTCATACTTTCTGCCAGTCTATCCTTCACTTTGAACTCTACCAAAAGCAAGTAACACAACCTATCTATGAAAGAGTCAAGTTGATCTTCAATCCTCCTTAATTAGTTCCAACACGAAGTGTCCCCTCCACTGCATGCTAATTTCAATCTTATCAAGTTTCAATTACAACCACATTAGCAACAGTAATCTAGCAGTCTTTGCTGATAGCATGTTTTGATCTCATCGTTTTGCAGTCTCCCCTAGATAGCTGAGACAAGGATTTCTTCCCATATCCTTTCGGATAATTTCGTAAAGATCTGGAGCAGCCTTCAAAGTGATATCTTCGATTTTGTGTTTCAAACAGAACTAGGTGAAACCAAATAATCTGCAAATTAGAAAAGAAAATATGGAGAGATTCGAAAGACTTTGTAAATATGCCCAAAACTTATTTATCTGACCCCCTTCGTACGTACTTTTGCTAATAATCGGAACTACCGGACAATAAATAAGCAGAGGATCAGGAATGGAAATTTCGGTAAAAGAAACTTTCCTTCTCACTGCTAGCAATACTATCGAACTTCAACACTGACCAGAAATATGACTCACAAATAATATTAATTTAATCAAAGCACCAAGAAACAATAATTTCACGTGCAGTTCATTATTTTGGAATGCATTTGGCAGTTGCAGTAACTTAAACAAAGAGGTCGAAGGCCTGTACAACGACAGCTGCACTTACTATTGGTATTCGTAGTACGTTTACCATCACATCCGTCAAACGTGTAGCGAGACGTTGCGTGGATTAGTCCCTCAATTTCATGCTTTCCTGGGTAAGACTCATAAGGCTGAACTAAGTCTATGCCTGACCTCTGCATAACCTCACTTGACAAATCACACGTTACGATAAATGCGCAAAATCATCATTATAATGGTGAAGGATAGGTGGAACAGAGTGACGAAATAGCACGGTGAGCGAGGAGAAAAAGCGAATACATGGTCGGAGAACGCAGAGGACGGGGCTCTGCCAACGAAGGTCGTGTCTGCCCCACGATGCTTCCACTCCACAACACACATACACAATAGGTAGGTAGGCTTTCTATCTGCTTACCCGTGTATGTGTGTATGTATGTGTGTACACGTGTGTGTGTGTATGTCCGCGTACGTCTATGTGCGTATGTGTATGCATGCGTGTGTGTGTGTGTGTGTGCATGTGTGTATGTATGTATGTGTGTCTACGTGTGTATGTGCACGAGGACGTGTCTGCGTCCTCCTCTCTCTCTGTTCAGACCACTCTCTAACAGTGATGGATCAATACTGCGGGCGCACGCGGAGGCAATGTTGCGCTTCGCACTGTACTGTGCACATTTTGAATTGCCGCCCATGAAGTGTCTCTCTATGAAATTGAATGCTTCTCATTAGCTCACTCATGTATTCGTAGCAGGTATTTAATCCGGTTGCAGGTAAGTGATTGTACACCGGAAAAGGACTGAACAGATGGAGAGTTGTTGCTTAGCAACGGTCGAATTAGGGTGATATTTGTGATACGTATGTACTTATGACTCACGCTTCCGTTTTTGCTTTATTTTATTAATTTGGATGTGAATAAAGTGTAATGGAATGCATTTGAAGGAGTTTACGATGACGGACGAGAAAGAACTGAGACGAGAATATCCGCTTCACTGGGCTGTGTTTCGGAATGATTATGCCAATTTGATGGAATTTTTGGAGGAAGAACATGGGGATGAGATCGTTAACAAGCTTGATGTAAGAGGTTAGTGAACCTCATTCATACATTCTTTGTAGATTTGAGATACTCACTTCCCTAGATTAATCCTTTTATATTTAGCTTTAGAAATTATTCTTAAACTTAATCTATACTTCAGGACGCACACCTTTGATGTTAGCCATTACTCTTGGCCATTATGAATGTGCTCGAGCTCTGTTAGAAAAAGGTGCCAATGCTGCTATCCAGAATGCAGGTATATTAATCAGCTGATGTTAACAAGCCGAGTCAGTTGGCTCACTTCAGCTTCACATATAAAATAATGGAAGGGTCGAAAAAGGCTCTCCCCGCTTAAGGCTCGATTAAAAAAGGACTTTCTGCTACATCCTATTCGTATCAACTGCAAACCCACTGATTCCACGTCCTTCACTTATGCAGATATGTGGTCGCCTAGTCATGAAGCTATTTGTGCCGGAAATAGTGACCTTTTACGATTAATTATTCAATATCGAGATTATCAAAGAGCTCTACAAACAAGTTGTGCAATGGAACGTTTACTCACTCTCCTGAAGGTGTATATTTCGACATTGGTATAGGAAGGAGGAAGCATTGCACTTGTATCTTTCTTCATATATTGTTGATGATTAATAATCTCCCATCAAGGTTGTGTAATCCAAGCAATAAATATAAGCAGTAAGTGCGACTGAAAATGCTTCTTTTTAGGCTCTCAGTTCCAGGATACTAAAGTACATTTGCTTTATACGAATATCTACATTTTATCACCTTTATTAATGGTGACATCTTTTCATATTTAACTGATTGAGACAAGTAAAGTAATATACTTAATTTCAGGAAACAAATGATTTTTATGCAGAAATGAGTTGGGAATTTACTAGTTGGTTACCATTTGTTAGCAAAATGTGTCCTTCTGACACTTATAAAGTATCGTTTATTCATCTTTCAAAGAAGAATTATGTATATTTTGATAGAAGAGATATTGAAATTAATCTCATAAGAATTTTAAATGCTCCGTGTTAGGAAAGAGTAGGGTGGAAGTCATATTATTTAATTCAGATTTGTCATTATTCTAGTTTTGATAAAATTTACAATTAATATCAATTCGTAAAAAAAAGCACCTCAATTTCCACATACTGCTTAAGTTGACATTTTACTTAGAACTTGCCTAGACAACGATAAATTTGTTGTACAGAATATCCTTGTGCATTTCAAGAAATGTTTTCAACTAATGAAGCAGTTATTTAATCAAGTTCCAATAATATTTGGTTTGAACTAACTTCTTAGCAATCATTTTCAATTTGTTTTGATTGATTTTAACAATAATTCTGCAGATCTACAAGCAAGGTTCAAATGTTCGCATTGACACAACACTGGTTGGTTTTGATATAGCATCGAATTGGAAACGCGGCAATCAGTCCTTCATATTTCGTTTTTCTGATAACTGCCAAGTCCAACTGATTGTCCTGGACCATGACAGTAAAACGGTAGATTCACTGTTATAACTGTTTGTTTCCTATATATTTTTATTTTTTTTGAGAAAAAAATCGGGCTATCTTTTTTCTCCCTGAGACAAAACTACCATTTGTATAGTAAATTTATTTTTTCTTATTAAATTTTCTTGTGAAATGCATTTCAAGGGATATATTGTAATAATTCAACTAAAATAGAATGTTGACAGCTGAAATATATAACTACATTTTACGAAATCGTAAAATTAAATACCAGCCTTAGTATTTCCAGGCTACTGTTCATACTATGGATTCACAATCCACCAATGATCTCAGAGATTTTATTCCACCTGAAGAAGCTATTTATTCACGAATGACGTCACCTGTTGACACTACTTTCATTGATGTAGAAAAAATCGGGTTTGTGTAAAACAAAGCTTTTTCCTCACATCTATTATCAGATTTTTTTCTGACATTTTTTCTCTAATAGTTAGGGGATGGTAATTATTTTTTTACAGATTCGAACGGTCGAAAGGTGGTGGTCTTTTCTCTTGGTTATCGTCATCAGATCGTGTAGAAGAAGTGGATGGATATAAATGTAAGGTATGTATTCTCTTTTATTACTTTCAAGATACTGGGAAAGGATTAGACGAATTATTCAAAATAATTTTTATTCAAAGGAACGATATTTTCGAAGTCTTCTCGAACTTGTCATGCAAATAAATGGTGACGAAAATAATAGATGTTGTTGTTTTCAGGATTATTTTTTCATACATGAATGAAAAATTAAAGAATTTCTAGGTTTTTAATGCAAGTAATGTTGATATAGTGACAAAGACGCGTACAGAACACTTGTTGGAAGGAGATAAGGAAAGGTTAGTTTAATATATGGGCTACCCTTTTTATCCTTTAAAAAAAATGAGCAGAGGATTTTAGATGATTCTATAAAAGGTCTCATAAACATCAGGAGATTTTTGGATGAGAGATGTTTTTATTAGTTTAATTAATATTTCGAAAATGTCAATTAAAGTACTAAAATTATTTGAACATTAGAGAAACTTAATAAACTAGAGAAATTAATTTTTTAGAAGGTACAGTTTGTTTACATAGAAAATAAAATACATTGAATATTTGATGTCAAACATGATCGTTTTGCAGATTTCGACGTGAAGAACATGAAAATCCTTTGTACATGGTGTTAAAATTGGCTGAAAGACATCAGAAATGCACTAGCGAAATGAGACAAACGGGAACTGATGTATATTGTGGGCTGACACCGCAGCAGTATTTGGATAAGAATTATTCTATGAATAATCGCGACATTGGATTACCAAAGCAGGTTCTATTTTTTTCGGAATATTTGGTGACGGCACAGATCTTTCAGTGGTAATAGTCGAGAGATTCAATTCTGTGAAGCAAATTTAAAGTTTATTTGTTGAAGCTCCCCTACATCGAAAATATAACTAACGCTGTAATGGATAGTGTAGCAAGTATTTTATAAGTTCATCTTTTAATTTCTGGAATATTCTAATTCCGTTACTGTATGCAGGCATTAAATTGGCCTCCAACCTTAAATGTTTTAATTATAAACAATTTCATGTAATGCATTTCTTTTTTTTTAAGAATATAATTTCCTTTCATCGTTTGTTTTCAGTAATTAAATTTAAAGTCTGAGAAATCCGTTTTGGTAGAACACTTTATGAAGTAACTGTTTAAAATATTCTTTTCTAGGTGACGAAGAAGACCAGTTCATTTAAAGCTACTTTATGGCTTTGTGACCATTATCCACTCGATTTGCAGGTTCAGTCTTTATATAAATACTAACATATTTAACACTTTATTTTTAGTCTTTTCAAAGTCTTGATCTTTTTTGACATTTTGGGAAATAATACTTTCTGACAATGAAACTTCAGATTTTGTTTAAAGAAACGGTTAGATTTGCTGTTCTGAAGTATGTTTTTATCATGAATCTTTGCTTGGAACATGGCGAAGCAAACATTGTCACAACGAATTCCATTTATCTTTACCACTTAAAATTTTTTCATCTTCAATTTGATTTTTTTCAGAATCAAGTTTTACCGATAATTGATCTAATGGCTGTGAACAATGCCCATTTCGCTCGCCTGAAGAATTTCGTCCAGCTCCAGCTACCAGCTGGTTTTCCTGTAAAAATTGAAATTCCACTGTTTCATGTTGTTAGCGCACGAATTACATTTTCGGCTATAAATATACCGGGACCTCATGTTTCTTACAATGTTTCATCAAACGAGGTAAGTTTTAATTTAATTTTTGTCTGACGTGAATCCTCGTATCGGTACTTCCAGGACATTATGAGCATGAAAGATATATCTTACAAATGAAAATTGTGTGTTTTCAGGTAGAAGTCGATCCGGCTACTTTTGAAATCCCCGAGTATTACAGTTCCTTGAACAACCCCGATTGTGGCATATGTATAAGCGGAAATACTACCATTCGCGAAGTAGGTTCTAATGGAAATCTTGCATCGAGACGATGTTAGTTCATCTTTTTCTTCATAATTACTAATTACTGGAATTTTAAATCAAAAATCGAAGTGCTTTGGATCGTTGTTCATTTATATTTATAGTTGGATGTAGAATACAAAGTAAGATATTAGCATTTACCGGTCTAAAAATAAAAGCTACCATTTTCACACGCTTAATTGATTCAGGCAAGATTGTTTTGGATTTGATTATAAGTTCTTACTATTCTCTAGCGACAGATTTAAAATATATTGTAATGATCGAGGTGATTCCCATTTCGAAAAAGAAAAATATTTTGAATTGTTCACTGGGATAATTTGGATGTTTTTGTATTGCAGACGTATCAGAAGATGAACTCTACCTACAATTCGCACTGGAGCAAAGTATGCGTGAGACAGCAGGCCCATCAGCAAGTACTAATACCTGTATTGCAGAATCCGTGAACAATGTCTCTGATTGGCATGGAGACATAGATTTAGCATATGCTATAGGAGAAAGCATACGAACGCTTCGTCTGGAACGGATGATGAGAGAAGGTACTACAACTGCCGATAATATCAAAGAGCGTCAATCTTTTATGGTACTTTTTTATTCTTTTAAATGGTTAACGCTTTCATGCATGATTTTCTTTGTGATAGCACTGAAAAATTTCTAGATAGTCTAACTCCATGCGCATTGCACTAGTTGTACAACTTGCAACCGTTGTAACTCGGAATGACATCTTGTTCGGTTTTGAAATTTTAGGACGACGATATTCAGCTTGCAATACGGCTATCGCAAAAAGAAGAGGAAGAAAGGCTGAAAGCATGCGAAAGGCAAGAGGAAGAGTTAGAACGTATCATAAAGCTATCTCTCATCGAGAAATAATGATATTATTTAACAATAATTTGGGGTTTTATTCAGCTTTAAGCTTTTGATATTTGTTAAGTGGCCACTAGCATCTAGTTGAAGCTGTTTTGGTTAAGCGAAGTTGTGTAAAGTACAAGATCGAAAAATTTTTATATATCATGTACTTTTAACTATATGATCATTGCAGTTTAGTTTTTAAATTTCTTGTATATTTTCATTATTTTTTTTAGGAAACTAGTATAATATATGTGACAGTTGTACTCAGCTTTGTTGCTTTGAGTATTTTAGTTATGCCGTTAAAATAATCATTGTAGTAAGTTGTCTAATTGCTAATTACAATGTTTGGTTTATATTTTTTATTTTCGTAATGGATTACTTTTACAGTTATTATTGCTTTAACTAGTACATCTTGAACAAAGAAACAGAGTTTTAAAAATGTCTTGTGGAAGATGGAAGACAGAGTGATTAAAATTTTCTTAGCAGTTATACAAGCTGATGAGCTAACTTTTACAGCTGTTAAACCTTTTTCAATAATGGTTACAGATACGAGTGCTTGGTAATTATTTTGGTGTAGAATGCGCAAGTATATTATGGGGAGAGCTGCGGTTTCGTAGATGTGTTTGCAGTTTACAAGAAAGTTCTTGCTAAAATAAAATCCTAATAATCTTGGTGGCTCTATTTACGTGGTTGTCTCCGCTCACACAACAAAATTCTGAGATCATAGCAGTTGCATTAAGGTGAGCAGATGACCACAGTTGGTCTCGGCGGCCGCATTAAAGATTAAGCAGCCGCAACAGTTTGGGTCGTGTTCAGCTTTCGGTGGTCTCAGTTTTGAGAGGTGTTTGGTGGGGCTGTGCTCGAACTGTCCTTGGTCCTAATTATTGGTACTTGTCTAGTCCTTACGTTAGAATGTTACCCAGATTTGCTAGCATGGAAATGCATTGCTTTATTCTTAAATTTATGTTTCTGGGTATTGTTTTATTGATGGTCCATTTCAAAAATCCCACTAAGTACTGTACGTACTGAACTTCAGCCTTAGAAAGCATTGAAGAATTGTGCACTGAATATTAGTTGTTTTGCATAACATAACCATATCTTGTTGCATACGTTCGATTTATTCCACAAATACATGTATAATTGTTTTTGGTCGGGATTTTATATATCGTTAAAGTAAAGGTGACATTATGTGATGCTTTCCAATTTCAAAAATGCTTCACATGAGTATGTTCACTGGAAAGAGATTTTCATCGTCTGACAAGAAAAAGTGGGAAAATAATGGAACTGAAAGACAGTAGCAGTTGATATGAAAAGTAGCACATTAGTTTATTGTAACATTGGAGTTTATTTCAATCAGAACAACCTTTATGTCGCGAACTTCTTAACGTTTGTGTTATCGCCATAAAATCATGTATTTTATCCATTTCCTCATCAGGCGATAAAATTATGATTCAAACTCACAGAAGTGGGTATGTTAATGTCAATTTGGTTTTGCGTAATAAAATTGTTAATACCACTTACTGGTTTTTCAATTTAAGAGATTTTCTAGCTGAGGTACTTTTTGACGTGCAAATTTTCCTGAACGAATCTGGAAATAATGGCAGATCAGTCACAAGCATCATGTAAGACTACTGGTAACAATAATACAGCAACTGGACCAGCACCAGCTTCTTCTTCGGAATATATCAAATTGAGAGTTGTAGGACAGGTATAATTTATTTTCGGACAGCATGTAATGTTTACGGCTTCATTTTTTACTGAAGTGTGATTTTGTCTCGATTTGATATTACTAAACCTTCAGAGGATTGTCAGAAGCCCTCTTCATTTCAGGACTCGAACGAGGTACATTTTCGTGTGAAGTTTGGCACAAGCATGGGGAAACTGAAAAAGTCTTATGCAGATCGAATGGGTGTTGATGTCGGTTCATTGCGCTTTTTATTTGACGGACGGCGAATCAATGATGAAGATACTCCTAAGACACTGGAAATTGAAGAAGATGATATAATTGAAGTAAGTTAATTCCTTGTTGATTCCAAAGCTCAGCTGTTCCTTTGAAATGGAAGTAATAAGTCTTCATCCCAGTCGCTTTATAATGAAGATCTGTCAAAAAGTTGTGTTCTGTCTTTTTTCGTTCCTAGTTAATTATAGTCGACATTTACAGTTGGAGCGAAGTTTGGTCTCGCATTTGTTCAGGCGAAATTGCACTACATATTACATATCTATAGCAATCCTAGTATTCCCATCATATAGCAAGCCTTTCTGGTAGACTGTAGTATTTAAGCTTCGTTATTTTTTCTTTTCATCTGGAAAATAGCAAAGTATGGGCAATTTTTAATTTTATATTTTTTTTCAGGTTTATCAAGAGCAAGTTGGTGGTCATTTTGTTCAGTAAAAAAGTTTCATAAACTATTTAAGGTATTGAACCCTTCTTTTGCTTTAATTTTTTTTCTTCCATTATTGCTGACATTTGTGAAATCCTTTTGTATTATTATTATTATTATTATTTTTTTTTTTTTTTGGATTTATTATCCTTTATTATTGTTGAGTTGCACCAAATTTATGCACTTTGCATTTTCTTCATTGTCTTACAACTTTTCATTTTCATGTAGGGATTTCCATTTCTTTCTGTTCGTTTGTTTATCATTTTTCGTATTTCTTTTGGGAGGTGACTAGGTGGTCTGCTTGCATACTATGGAAGAATTCTTTTTCGAAAAAGGCCGAGTTTTCCAAGAACCTTCATATCAAAATTTGACTTGGAAAATTGATGTTACTCTCTGGGTATTATTTCATTCTGGTAGTAGAAATATCCGTTCATTTGGATTTGTTTTGTCTTCTTGCCACATTTATAAGATTTGGTTTATGATGACAGAAACACGTGCATATAATTCAGATGAACGGAATATTTTTACTTTTTTGCATAGACCTAGACCACCGTAACTGAATTCACTAACAGTTTGAGCGATTTCATAAACTGTTTCTCTGCTAATACTATGGAATTTCTCCTGCAAATATTTTTTTCACTTCTTTAGGGTTTTTAAATTTGACCCTCTATGATATGCAGGTCCTCATAAATCTGCATAAATTGATTCTATATTGGCCTACATTTCCCAAGTTTCTTTTTAGTGCGCAGGAACATCTGTATTTCATTAACTTGGCAGCCATTATACTGTGCTCTGCCGTTTATGTTGTGTCCAAATCAAGAGGTTTTGGTTTCATAAGGATCAGTTGTTTTACAGTTCTTGTATTACGCAGTGTTTCTGATACGTTAGCATTGAAGCTCATAACTCGCATGCTAAGTTCTTTAGCTACTATGATGTGAGGACCACAATATATGCTAATGGTATTATTATCTCCATTCTTCCTGTTATTAATATGAAGAAACCCTGAAAAGATTGTTTTATTTGAAGTGAATAAAATCTGGTCTCCATGGAAGAAAGTTTGCCCCTATAAATGACGAATAGTTTTTTTCTTTTCTTGGTTTATAAATGGTATGCTGAATTGGTATTATAAAACAAATTCAAGCAGCAGTAGTACATATGTATAAATAAATTGATAAAAAATGTTGAGCAGTATCTGTATTTGTCTGTTGTTAAGGTTAACTCGTTTTACATTTCGACATATTGTATTTTACATGTTTCATGAAAAGTTTTGCTTTTTTGTATTTGAGAACGTTATATACAATGGATTAAAGGATGTGAAGTGTCCAGAACAATAATGTAAAATGTAGAAAAGCACAAAAATAAGTAATCGAACAGTCAGGTTCATGTGTAAAGATTTCGAATTTTCATTAAATACAAAGTAATCTGCCTGAGAAAGTCTGAGAAATCCTCGGAACTATTACCAACAATGTCTTTGAAATTGAAGATTTTGGCTGGAGTGACATCGTCAGTTGAAATAGTGCTAGCGGTAATAATGGTAGTTTGGAAAAGTTGACAAGCAAAAAAATCTCGTTAAAGCGAAAAGTAAACCTCAGTCTAGTTAAGCATTAAACCAAAAAATTTTGAATGTGGGACTTGCAGTGTTGTTTAGCTAATACGCGACTGTTTTGCTAAATAGATTTACTTTGTTCGGCTTGTAGGGAAAACTTTTGTGTGCAAAGGAACTTCATTCTTTTGTGATAATGACTTTGATGGATAGGGGTAGGAATTCAAAGTGGTGCGGGATTTCTAAACTCATTAATTATAATTTTTTTTTAATCCTTGACAATTTGTTTGAGGATAAGGTAGAAGAATAATATAGAAATCCAAAGCAGTCTCGGAATAATACTGCCCGTTTCAAAAGCTCTTCCTATTAAAACAGTCATCAAAACTACGACTGGAAATTTATCACCATTATCAGTATGTACAAGTCATACAACCTTTGTCGCTCCACACACATGCACCATACAAAAAATCTTACTCTCCAATTGCTGCTTTAGTTTTGGAGAAGAAATTTCTGTTAGCTAATAAGAGGTGTAATTTGGTAATGATTGTGAACATTTTGATTGGCTAATGCAAATACGAATGATCGAATATATTTGACAGTTCTGGGATGATTTTAATCTACATTACTAATACTCCCCCAAAAAGTTTTATTTCTATTTTACAAATAATTAGGAATTTCTTACAGTAAATATTAATTGAAATCATTGAATTGAATTAATGATTAGATGGTAGTGTACAATTTTCAGTGCTTTAAATATTTTCGTTAAGACGGTCAAATTATAGTAATCAAACTTAAATTTTTATGACAATTGATTCAACATTGAAAGCAATTTTTTGTTGATTTGCTGAGAAAGTTTTCTCTTTTGGTGCGTTCAATAGATACACTCTCTTTAGTCAGACCGTGCACAAATGTGCCCTCTTCTCTATTATTTTAATATCCACTTCAGTTTATTTTACGATAAAATGAATCTACTTCAACCATGAAACCATTTCTACACTCTTCCTTGCCTCACTAATTCCAAACTTCCCTTAAAAAATAGTGCATGTATATGTATGTGTGTATGTGTATGTGTATGTGTATGTGTATATATATATATA